ATACATGCGCTGAGAATCCAAAAACGTGCAGGGGAGGTGGCAAATGATGAATTTTGAAGACCGAAATGTTCAGACTGTTTATAAAAAAATGAAGACTGTTTTTTAAAAAAAATTTGAAGCGAATCTGGGATAAGTTCAATTAAAAATTATCTCGTCAACCAACAGAACAACGGAAAAGAACAAAGACATCGTGCAAATGCATACAAAGAACACAAAAAATGCCATATCATATAATTGTAACACACTAATGCAGATACTAGAAGCATTAAGCGTTAAAAATACTGAAGTAGAACAACGTATATAAAATGTTGTCAATCAAAATTAGGTATAAAACATGCTAAAAATACTACATAAATAAGAAAAAGACACACACACACACACACACACACACATAAAACACACACACACACACACATAAAACACACACACATATATTTGTTATTATTCTCATACGTTGAACTTTCTACTAGGAGTTTTACCTGGATATTCGTTTCTTAGTAACTCCTTGGGATTATCCACATAACCAAAGGATTTTATATATATACTGTGCAATGGATAAATTATTTAAATTATGCAAAAATGAAAATAACACTGATATCTCATTTTAACATATATTTACTAAAATTACACAAGTATTTCTTGAAATACTAAAGAGTAAATTTATTCAATAACATTGCCATTTGGTGGTCTGATAATAATATGGATTATGTGTTATATATTATTAATATATTAATGCAATATATATGTGTGTTTCTATATGATACTGTCAAAATTATTTCTGTATATAAATGTGTTTTCAAGTAACATACTTTCGACCTTGCATTATTTTAGTAAAAGATCAGTTATTCTTATGGCATTTGACAGAAGAGATGCTTGGAACAGTTTCATTAAAAATTCACCCCATGCACAACAAGATATTTTCCTATCCCTTCTGTCTTCATTTTTAACTGTTCCTGTCAATTATTGCCTTCCGCTATCACAAATCTTTTCTTTTTTTAAATCAATTTATTTTAAATCAACTGAGCTTAAACCAGTCTGAAGATACAGTGTAAACCAACTGCAGAAATAAATTTAAATTTATTACTGAAAAAATTCAAATGTAACGTCTTTCTTTGAAATTTTTCTTAATTATATTGCTCTGTATGATTTGTTATTATTCTTAAACTCTCTACTAGAAGGTTGACCTGGATATTCCATTTTAAGTAACTCCTCGGGATTATCGACATAACCAAAGGACAATATATATATATATATATATATATATATATATATATATATATATATATATATATATATATATATGTGTGTGTGTGTGTGTGTGTGTGTGTGTACCAGTAAAATTGTCCGAATCGTTTAACAACATAATTGTCCACCCACAAAATATTTATATAAAAACTACTAAAGTAACTGAGTTTCTTTTGCCAATTTTTCAGATCAGATGCATAGCCATATTGATCCCATTTATCGTAAAAATCACTGAAAAACCCCTTGAGTTATTAAGCTGGAGACGAATCTCCAACTGCATGATATCTACCAACCGCCCCACGCGGTCAAATGTGGCACAACGCCAAATTTAATGTGGAGTTTCCGAGCCCGTAGGATCGGCCAAAATTCCCCGAAGACCCCGTATAAAACGGGGTTGGGTAGCTGTTTCCCGAGACAAGACTCTCACCTTCGAGATAGCCTCGTGTGGGGATCCTTCTAGTGCAGACCAATATACAGTATTTACTACTGTATTTATGTGAATAGTGACATTATCGTACGTAGGTATGTTGCAACTGATAACGATATAGATTTTTATGTATCAAGAACAATATTGGTGAAATGTATGACAAAGTGGAAAACATGTGACACGATTCGCTCTTCACGACTTTGTCGGATTAAAAATTGTTATGTTGTTGCGACTACACATAATTTAGTCTAAATACCTCTTGTAGGAGGAAACGCGTCACAAGTAAACGTTTTTCCACTTTGTCATACATTTCCCCATATATATATATATATATATATATATATATATATATATATATATATATATATATATATATATATATATATATATATATATATATATATTTCTCTTCTTGAGTAGACCTTTCCGTTCAAACCGGGATTCTGAGTAGGCTGGCATTTTAGCCATTTCTCATATATATATGTGAAGAAATATACTCTTAAGGTGTGCAATATTTATGGGATAAAGTGCTCAATATCAGATAGAGCGTGTGTAAATATAAAAGTAAACATTGAAGTCGACACTTAGAGGCGACAGCCTGTTTCATGCTGGACGCAATCGTGCAAAAATTCCCCGTAGACACCATATAAAATGGGGTTGAGTAGCTGTTTCCTGAGACAAGACTCTGCCATTCGAGATAGCCTCGTCTGGGGATCCTCTGACGATTGCGTCTAGC